GATGCGGATGGAACGTTGTGTGAAAATTTCAAAGCAATCGGTGAAGAACTTTCGATCAGCAATTTTGAGCAAACGAACATTTACATTTTAATTTATATAGATTAGATACACAGAGTAATCACACTAACGTGATGCATCTATGAGAAAATTCGTAGGAGCCGTGATGAGGATTCGAACCTATGCCTTTGGGTGTTCCCTGACACACGCCTCAGACAACCAGGCCACGACATGGTCAAAAGTATTGCAAACTGCAGTTTTGACCATACGAGGAAACGTGTGATCACGTTTCCTCGTGTGTTCTGGGGCATGTGCGTCGAAATACCCACCACATAGAGTATTGGACCTTTAATTTCAACTGAAGGTACGTACACAGAGGACATCAAAGTAATTTATGAAATTCTAAGAAGCCATTATGAGGCTATGTTTAGCACCCCAATAAACAACATGAAACGTGAAGATCCAGACAGCTTCTTTATGCACGATATCCAAGCTGCAGGTAATATAGCGGATATTAACACGAACTCTGAAGACTTTGAAAGAGAAATTGACAACATGCCCATCCACTCAGCCCTTGGTCCTGACTTAGGGAATTCAATATTCATAAAGAAATGTACAGTGTCAGTAGCCTGAGCGCTCACTGTAATATGGAGAAAGTGCCTGAACACAGGAGAGATACTAGCAGCAGGTAAATCAGCAGGAATAGCTCCTCTGCAGAAGGGAGGTAGTAAAGCTTTGGTAAAAAATTATAGACCAGTTGCACTAACATCACACATAATAAAAGTTTTTGAAAGAGTGATTAAGAATCAAATTTTTAGTTGTTTGGAAAATAATGAACTACACGACCCAATACAACATGGATTTAGAGCGGGAAGATCCTGTCTGTCACAGTTACTCAACCACTATGACAAAATCGCAGAAGCCTTAGAAGAAAAGCAAAATGCAGATGTTGTATACACAGACTTTGAAAAGGCATTCGACAAACGTGACCATGGAGGGATAGCGCATAAAATTAGATCAATAGGTAAAATGGGGCATTAGATTTTCAACTTTCTGTCAATCAGAATGGGGAAAGTCACGGTCAATCAAATAAGATCAAGCCCAAGTGCAGTGAAAAACTTTGTACCCCAGGGCACAGTCCTTGCACCGCTACTGTTTTTCATTCCTTTTTCGGATATAGATAGAAAAACTAGTTACTGCTTCGTGTCATCTTTTGTAAATGATAACAAAATCAGCATGAAAATTTTATCTGTAATGTAAGTTTAATTTTAGTAGTAGTTTTATGGTAGGTTATCATAATTTTTTTTAGCTGGGATGGCGGCTTAACAGCCTCCTTTTTTTTTTAAAGAGGACGCTAATGTCTTAAAGGTTTCTTATTGGGAAATTCAAGGTGAAAAGGGCCGCTGAGTTCTTAAAGGTTTCTTATGGGGGAAATTCGAGGTGAAAGGGGACACTTAAAAAGATATTTTATTACCTGCAGCTTGGAAGTCGTGCATAAAGAAGCTGTCTGGATCTTCACGTTTCGTGTAGTTTATTGGGGTGCTAAACATAGCCTCATAATGGCTTCTTAGAATTTCACTAATTTCTTTGATGTCCTTTATGAACGTACCTTCAGTTGTAATTAAAGGTCCAATACTCTATGCGGTGGGTATTTCAACCCACATGCCCCAGAACACACGGGGAAATCCTCCGTTGTTCAACACTCCAAGTTGCAATCTGTTTTGACCATGTCGTGGCCTGGTTGTTTGAGGCGTGTGCCTGGGAACACCCAAAGGCATAGGTTCAAATCCTCATCACGGCTCCTACGGATTTTCTCATTGATGCATCACGTTAGGGTGATTACTCTCTGTGTATCTAATCTATATAAATAAAAATATAAATGTTCGTTTGTTCAAAATAGCTAATCTCCGAAAGTTCTTCACGGATTGCTTTGAAATTTTGGTGCAACGTTCTATTCGCATACGAACATGTTTTTATGTACCTATTATATAGATGTCACATTTGTGACAGGTAAAAGCATGCTTTTTTGAAAAACCGTTTTTCATGTGAGGGAAATCTACGAGACCTTTTTACCAATTGCTTATAAAATTTGTATGACATTGCGTTTGAATTGAGCAGTGTTGTATACCATACTGTTCGTTTTGTGAGTATATTTTATATTTTCATTTTTTCATTTCGTTGTTTTAACTGTTTTTATTTTTCAGTGATGGGAACATGAGATCATTTCATGCTCCCAATTCTCTTTATGGGAACATCAGATCATTTGGGAATGCATCTGACGAGGGAGTGAGGGTGGGGATGACGAGGGGACGGGAGTGGGGGATGATGGACAACGGGACTGGGGAGGACGAGGGGACGGGGAAATGGAGAATGGCGGGTAGGACATGGGGACAGGGGAGTGGGGGGATGGTGGGGCGGACAAGGGAACGGGGAAGGGAGGAATGGTTGGGAGGACGAGGGGACGGGGGGATCGAATGGGGAATCTTGGGAGGACGAGGGGATAAAGGAGGGGTGAAATGGTGGGGAGGACTGGGGGACGGGAAGGTTGCTGTGGCTCAGCAACGCATTGCCAGTTACAGCTAGTTTAATAATATAATTGATAATATCTAGTGATATGATCATTAGATATCATCTAATGATATCATTAGATAGCATCTGATGATATCATTAGATATAATCTAATGATACCATTAGCTCCAATGGTATCATCTAATCTGATAATATATTTGATATCATATAATATCACCTATTCTGATAATACATTTATCATCTAATGAAATACGAGCAGGGATATTAGTTTCCATAACTGCACAGATTCATCCCGTGACTTCGAATCGAATAATGTGGAAGTTTAGTGCTCCACACGAGCTTGGCTGCGTGGTGGAAGGAGCTGGTGGGTCTCTGAAGGCTCTGAGGACACATTCCGCTTCCTGTCCATTACAACATCTGCGACGGGGATCAATTGATCTCATTTTTCTCCTGTGATGCTGCCAGGATAAAAGCAGATATCCTGCCAAGTCTATTTTTGCTTTTACAGTCTTTCTTTCACGTTCTTCCACAGGTCCTCTCTCCCACACAGCCTCTCTTCGATATTCCCCACAACCTCTATTCCACACCCCTGTCCCATATTCCTACAGCCGCTCTTTCATATTCATCACAACCTCACTCCCACAGCCTCTCCTATATTCTCCACAATCTCTCTCCCACAGCCTCTCTTCAATATTTCCCCACAGCCTCTCTCCTAGACTCCACACAGCATCTCTTCAATATTTCCCAGAGCCTCTCTCCTAGACTCCACACAGCCTCTCTTCCATATTTCCAACAACCTCTCTTGCACTACCTCTCGTCATTATTCCTTATAGCCTCTCACTCACACTCTCCACATCCTTAACTCTCACACTCCCTACAGTCCCATTCCCACAGCCTCCCTCTCCCTCATACTCTCCCCTACATCCAGCATCCTCTCCCCATCCTCGATACCGCCACAACTTACCCTTGACGTGGTCCACATTGGCACTCATGAATAACGATCGAGTGGTCCAAATTGTCCCATCCTATTCTCTCAATCACACTAATGTTCTAAATTGCAGGAAACTTGAAATGTGATGAATAATGTTGGAGTCGATCCTGTGTCTACGATGTACAAAGCCGTCTCGCAACCACTGCACCAGGAACAAGATATAACGATTCGGGAATATTAGCTCCCAGTACGTGTGCAGTGGTATCATGCTCGCCAAATATATCTTTGACCCCCAGATTCGATTCCACTTTTTTTTCTAATATCGATTTTCAGTTTTTATGCAGTTGAGAACATCAGTTTGTTTTACAAATAAAGGCTGATGACCCCCCCTTCAGACCCCGCCATCCCAGATTGGCAGGACGTGGCAAGTGGGGGTTATAACAGTCATAAATTGGAGGTTCCTACTTTAGCCTCTGTGAAGCCACGGGGCATATAAGCTCTCCAACTTTATTTTCATCACCTGCTCGTAAAGTTGTAAAGCAACCCATTAGAGTCCATTCCACACAAACTGTAAATAAGTAGAGTGATAAGGTATTTTTTATTGAGTCTCTTTATATCAAGAAATTGCTTATTGCAATTAAATTTATTTCCAGGACTATATAGGTGTTAGCTGCATTGAAAGTAAGGGAAATATGTGATAAAATAAGTGCTTTGTTGAAACAAATACTTGATAGTATTTTATATTTAATATCACATATTCTCTCAGATTCTATCATGTAACATTTTCCCACGATGGAAAAGTTCTTATCATTTTCGATATTACAATTAATGTATTCAAATTTCCAACAAACATCAATATGAACAAATCTTGACAATTAAAGTGCTTACTGATTTACCGTTCAACTGTCTCACTAAAGTTACTTCATGATGAAACTAAAGTAATTGGCAAAGAGAAAAATTAGCTGTATTGAAGCCTTGTCTCGCCGGACAATCCAATAAGCGAGAAAAGTTTCTAGGATGAAAGTACTCTAATTGCCTGCAGTTAGGAGGCTGCTAAGCGCTTCTGCAATGCCTACTTATAATTAATTTGTAACGTAACATTAACGGGAGTGAGAGCGCACTAACACACACATTCAGCTCTGGGTTCGGCCGAGGGGACAAGGCACAAAACGGCGTCAGAGTCGAGTCATTTATATAAACAAGTGGCGTGGAGGAGCTAGTGGATTAAACCACACTCCACAAGATGAAGAGACTACGACGTTTCGGTCCGTCCTGGACTATTATCAAGTCGATTGTGGTTCACGACGAACCAAAACGTCGTCATCTCTTCATATTCTGGTGTGTGGTTTGGTCAACATATCTTCAGCACCGTTATGTTGACTCATCATCTGCATGAGGCGTTAAACAGTTGCATAAGGCAGCAACTGAGGTCAGCAGCTGAGGTCAGCAACTAAGGTCAGCAGCTGAGTTCAGCAACTGACCATTTGGCATTTCCTTGACGTCCATCAAGGTTGCAAAGCTGCGACTGGAGTTTTTGGCCAACATGACAGCCCAGGAGGAGGAGGAGGAAGAGAGCGGTCTGCTACAGGAACGTGTTGAGGGGACCAGCGTCGTGGGTAATGGTGTCCACAGCAGCACAGGTCGAGGGGGGAGCAGGCACAGGAACATCTCTCAAGTTAGAGATGTTGCAACTTGAGCTGCAAGTGCAGTGTGAGGAGAGATAGGGCCCAGGGTCTCCTTCAGCATGGGGGAAAGACATGCTGAGCTTCAGCATGAGTAAAGAGAGGCTCAACTACCACACCAGCCTGAGGAAATAGTTGCTAAACTACCACAACAGCCTGAGGAAACAGTTGCACAACGCAAGATTAACCAAGATGAGCAAGAAAATGATACAAAGTGCAATATTAGCTGACCAAAATAAAACAAAAAGTTTAAGAAAAAGACTCCCAAATCGTTCAGCAGACATGGCACAGAGTGAGACATTCCCAGCTGGACGACGCAGTTCCATACTCGCCAGGAGAAATAACTTTCATTATTTAAGCTTTATTCTTTAGATTAAATATAACTGGAGGTCGTAAATTGTTGAGTTGGTGTGATATAAGATTTATTAAGGTTGAAGTGAAGTGTAATATATGACCTGTGTTCTTTCATGTGAGGCGGTCCCCGTCTCATATTACCGTCTTGATGCCGTCTGATATGTTACAGTCTTGAAGCTGTCTGATATTACCGTCCTGTAGCTGTCTGATATTACCGTCTTGAAGCTGTCTGATATTACCGTCGTAAAGCTGTCTGATATTACCGTCTTGAAGCTGTCTGATATTACCGTCTTGAAGCTGTCTGATATTACCGTCTTGAAGCTGTCTGATATTACCGTCTTGAAGCTGTCTGATATTACCATCTTGAAGCTGTCTGATATTATCCTCTGGTCGCCGTTTGTATTACTAGCTTAGAACCTGACCGTCAGGTAACACACAGGCGACCAAACCATCACGTTACACACAGGCGACCAAACCATCACGTTACACACAGGCGACCAAACCATCACGTAACACACAGGCGACCAAACCATCACGTAACACACCGGCGACCAAACCATCACGTAACACACAGGCGACCAAACCATCACGTAACACACAGGCGACCAAACCATCACGTAACACACAGGCGACCAAACCATCACGTTACACACAGGCGACCAAACCATCACGTAACACACAGGCGACCAAACCATCACGTTACACACAGGCGACCAAACCATCACGTTACACACAGGCGACCAAACCATCACGTAACACACAGGCGACCAAACCATCACGTAACACACAGGCGACCAAACCATCACGTTACACACAGGCGACCAAACCATCACGTAACACACAGGCGACCAAACCATCACGTAACACACAGGCGACCAAACCATCACGTTACACACAGGCGACCAAACCATCACGTAACACACAAAGAACCAGACCATTGTAAGGTAAAAGTAGGGCCACACGTCTGATTCTCCCAGACAAAAGTGTCCCAAATGTAAATATATAGTGTGGCACAGGCGCCACTGTCCGGAACTGACGAGGCTCCTCCCACTCTCTTACATTAAAAAAGTAAGCAAAATATAAATGAAATACAAATAATCCTGAAATATGAAATCTTGAAAAAATGAAATACAAATATTACAGTAGTTCGTGTTCTATCTTGTGTAAATGTCAATCACCTCACCCAAAACTTTTGTACCATATATATATATATGACTGAAAACTCACACCCCAGAAGTGACTCGAACCCATACTGCCAGGAACAACGCAACTGGTATGTACAGGGACGCCTTAATCCGCTTGACCATCACGACCGGACAAAAGGAAGTGATAGCCGAGGCTATTTGAACCACTCCCCCGCCGGCACTCGGATGGTAATCTTGGGCATAGCATTTTATCAAATCACCTCATTCTTTGGGGCAACACGTGAGGAACACAAATGCAAACAAGCCTGAATGGTCCCCAGGACTATATGCGACTGAAAACTCACACCCCAGAAGTGACTCGAACCCATACTGCCAGGAACAACGCAACTGGTATGTACAGGGACGCCTTAATCCGCTTGACCATCATGACCGGACAAAAGGAAGTGATAGCCGAGGCTATTTGAACCACTCCCCCGCCGGCACTCGGATGGTAATCTTGGGCATAGCATTTTATCAAATCACCTCATTCTTTGGGGCAACACGTGAGGAACACAAATGCAAACAAGCCTGAATGGTCCCCAGGACTATATGCGACTGAAAACTCACACCCCAGAAGTGACTCGAACCCATACTGCCAGGAACAACGCAACTGGTATGTACAGGGACGCCTTAATCCGCTTGACCATCACGACCAGACAAAAGGAAGTGATAGCCGAGGCTATTTGAACCACTCCCCCGCCGGCACTCGGATGGTAATCTTGGGCATTTTCAGTCGCATAGCCAAGTTTTCATGAATTAATTGTTTTTCGACTACCTAACCTACCTAACCTAACCTAACCTAACTTTTTCTGCTACCTAACCTAACCTAACCTATAAAGATAGGTTAGGTAAGGTTAGGTAGGGTTGGTTAGGTTTGGTCATATATCTTCGTTAATTTAAACTCCAATAAAAAAAATTGACCTCATACATAATGAAATTGGTAGATTTATCATTTCATAAGAAAAAAATTAGAGAAAATATATTATTTCAGGAAAACTTGGCTTATTAGGCAAATCAGGCATTGCATAGTAGGCCGATAAGTGCGTTCTGGCTACTAGGTACGACATATATATATATATATATATATATATATATATATATATATATATATATATATATATATATATATATATATATATATATATATTTATATATATATATATATATATATATATATATATATATATATATATATATATATATATATATATATATATATATATATATTATTAAATATGACCGAAAAAGTAAGATTAATAATTCTAACACGAATTTTCTCAATCTTTCGTACATTTCTTTTCACTGTTGGAGGTAAATCAAAAATCAATTCTCCAAAATTCATTTTTATTTCCAGTCTGACGCGACACGAGCGCGTTTCGTAAAACTTATTACATTTTCAAAGACTTTAGTTTACAAATACACAACTGAATAGAACTTACGCATCTCCATCGAGCAAAAAGTCGACATGAACTTGAAACCGGCCATATACTGCAGGTATGTTGACGACATTTTTACACAGGTACCTGATGTCAGACATCTGCAGGAGCTGAAGGAGGCATTTGAGCAGAGTTCCGTGCTGCGTTTCACTTATGAGATGGAAAAGGATGGGAAGCTGCCCTTTCTAGATGTAACAGTCATGGAAAAGAGCGGAGGTTTCCACACTGCAGTCTACACTAAGGAAACGAACATAGGAATGTGCCTTAAGTGCCAACAGCGACTGCCCAGACAGGTACAAGAGGAGTGTTAACGCATATGTCGACCGTGCTCTCAGCCACAGCTCAGAATGGAAGCAAGTCGACGAAGAACTCTGTAGGGTAAGGCAGGTCCTAGTCAACAACGGCTTCTCCAATGGTTTCGTCGAAGACATCATAAGAAGGAAAGTGAAACGCCATGCAACCTCTGAAGAGACAACTAACACAACACCTATACCCCCTATTAGACTATTTTACAGGAACTTCTTTTCCACAGCTCATAAAACGGAGGAAAGGGTCCTGAAAGATATTGTTAATAGAAACGTTATCCCTACAGACAAAAATCAGAGGATACAACTGACGATTTACTATAAAACCAGAAAAACGGCCAGCCTACTCATGAGAAACTCTCCAGACACATAACAGAACGCTTTAAAAGAGACTAACGTCGTCTATGCCTTCAAATGCCCTCTTGGGGACTGTAAACTCCAACCCCCGCAAGCACAACTAGGTGAGTACAGTCCCCCTCCCACAGTGAGCCCCTCACAGTCCCCTCCCACAGTGAGCACCTCACAGTCCCCTCCCACAGTGAGCCCCTCACAGTCCCCTCCCACAGTGAGCCCCTCACAGTCCCCTCCCACAGTGAGCACCTCACAGTCCCCTCCCACAGTGAGCACCTCACAGTCCCCTCCCACAGTGAGCCCCTCACAGTCCCCTCCCACAGTAAGCACCTCACAGTCCCCACCCACAGTGAGCACCTCACAGTCCCCTCCCACAGTGAGCCCCTCACAGTCCCCTCCCACAGTAAGCACCTCACAGTCCCCACCCACAGTGAGCCCCTCACAGTCCCCTCCCACAGTGAGCCCCTCACAGTCCCCTCCCACAGTAAGCACCTCACAGTCCCCACCCACAGTGAGCCCCTCACAGTCCCCTCCCACAGTGAGCCCCTCACAGTCCCCTCCCACAGTGAGCCCCTCACAGCCCTATCCCACAGTAAGCACCTCACAGTCCCCTCCCACAGTGAGCCCCTCACAGCCCCATCCCACAGTAAGTACCTCACAGTCCCCTCCCACAGTGAGCCCCTCACAGCCCCATCCCACAGTAAGCACCTCACAGTCCCCTCCCACAGTGAGCCCCTCACAGTCCCCTCCCACAGTGAGCCCCTCACAGTCCCCTCCCACAGTGAGCCCCTCACAGTCCCCTCCCACAGTGAGCCCCTCACAGTCCCCTCCCACAGTGAGCCCCTCACAGTCCCCTCCCACAGTGAGCCCCTCACAGTCCCCTCCCACAGTGAGCCCCTCACAGTCCCCTCCCACAGTAAGCACCTCACAGTCCCCTCCCACAGTGAGCCCCTCACAGCCCCATCCCACAGTAAGCACCTCACAGTCCCCTCCCACAGTGAACACGTTACACTTGATCCCTCCCATGTTAGACAATTTTCATATCATTTGAATTATTGCCTTCTTCACAAATCTGCATTTTTATTTAATAAATTAAGAATTTGTATGGTTGAATGTAAGTGACACTTAAGTGACACCTGCCTGTAGTGACACTTACAGGCTAGTGTCAAAAGCCTGTAAGAGGGGTTGAAGTCCCGGAATGTTCAGCAGAACGCGATCCAGAAGTATATAGTGATTGAACAAATATTGAACCCATCATACAGCTTGTTTAACGTGGTGAAAGGGCGGACACTGCTCTCTATATATGTCCTGTGTAAAGTCCTGGTTGAGCAGTCATTACTCGCTTTATAGAGTCAGTGTAAAGTGGTAATTGATGATATATTGCTACCACTATAGAGCCTGTGTAAGGTGGTAATTGATGGTATATTGCTACCACTATAGAGCCTGTGTAAAGTGATAATTGATGATATATTGCTAACACTATACAGCCTGTGTAAAGTGGTAATTGATGATATATTCCTGCCTCTATAGAGTCTGTGTAAAGTGGTAATTGATGATATATTGCTAACACTATACAGCCTGTGTAAAGTGGTAATTGATGATATATTCCTGCCTCTATAGAGTCTGTGTAAAGTGGTAATTCATGATATATTGCTAACACTATACAGCCTGTGTAAAGTGGTAATTGATGATATATTCCTGCCTCTATAGAGTCTGTGTAAAGTGGTAATTGATGATATATTCCTGCCTCTATAGAGTCTGTGTAAAGTGGTAATTGATGATATATTCCTGCCTCTATAGAGTCTGTGTAAAGTGCGCTTAGAGAAATACAGAAAGAGAGCTTGTAACGTTCGGCGAGATAATTGTCATGCAGCGTGGCACTGTTCCCTCAGTCGTCCCTGATAATCACCGGTGATTATCACAGAATCTGTGATTGTGGGCTATTGTGAGGCAGCGAGTAGCACCAGCAGTGAGAGGCACCATTATGAGGCAGCGAGCAGCACCAGCAGCGAGAGGCACCATTATGAGGCGGCGAGCAGCACCAGCAGTGAGAGGCACCATTGTGAGGCAGCGAGCAGCACCCGCAGTGAGAGGCACCATTATGAGGCAGCGAGCAGCACCAGCAGTGAGAGGCACCATTATGAGGCAGCGAGCAGCACCAGCAGTGAGAGGCACCATTATGAGGCAGCGAGCAGCACCAGCAGTGAGAGGCACCATTGTGAGGCAGCGAGCAGCACCCGCAGTGAGAGGCACCATTGTGAGGCAGCGAGCAGCACCAGCAGTGAGAGGCACCATTGTGAGGCAGCAAGCAGCACCAGCAGTGAGAGGCACCATTATGAGGCAGCAAGCAGCACCAGCAGTGAGAGGCACCATTGTGAGGCAGCGAGCAGCACCAGCAGTGAGAGGCACCATTATGAGGCAGCGAGCAGCACCAGCAGTGAGAGGCACCATTGTGAGGCAGCGAGCAGCACCAGCAGTGAGAGGCACCATTATGAGGCAGCGAGCAGCACCAGCAGTGAGAGGCACCATTATGAGGCAGCGAGCAGCACCAGCAGTGAGAGGCACCACTGTGAGGCAGCGAGCAGCACCCGCAGTGAGTGGCACCATTGTGAGGCAGCGAGCAGCACCAGCAGTGAGAGGCACCATTGTAAGGCAGCGAGCAGCACCAGCAGTGAGAGGCACCATTGTGAGGCAGCGAGCAGCACCAGCAGTGAGAGGCACCATTGTGAGGCAGCGAGCAGCACCAGCAGTGAGAGGCACCATTGTGAAGCAGCGAGCAGCACCAGCAGTGAGAGGCACCATTGTGAAGCAGCGAGCAGCACCAGCAGTGAGAGGCATCATTGTGAAGCAGCGAGCAGCACCAGCAACGAGAGGCATCATTGTGAAGCAGCGAACAGCACCAGCAGCAAGAGGCATCATTGTGAAGCAGCGAGCAGCACCAGCAGCGAGAGGCATCATTGTGAAGCAGCGAGCAGCACCAGCAACGAGAGGCATCATTGTGAAGCAGCGAGCAGCACCAGCAACGAGAGGCATCATTGTGAAGCAGCGAGCAGCACCAGCAACGAGAGGCATCATTGTGAAGCAGCGAGCAGCACCAGCAACGAGAGGCATCATTGTGAAGCAGCGAGCAGCACCAGCAACGAGAGGCATCATTGTGAAGCAGCGAGCAGCACCAGCAACGAGAGGCATCATTGTGAAGCAGCGAACAGCACCAGCAACGAGAGGCATCATTGTGAAGCAGCGAGCAGCACCAGCAACGAGAGGCATCATTGTGAAGCAGCGAACAGCACCAGCAACGAGAGGCATCATTGTGAAGCAGCGAGCAGCACCAGCAGCGAGAGGCATCATTGTGAAGCAGCGAGCAGCACCAGCAGTGAGAGGCACCATTGTGAAGCAGCGAGCAGCACCAGCAGTGAGAGGCACCATTGTGAAGCAGCGAGCAGCACCAGCAACGAGAGGCATCATTGTGAAGCAGCGAGCAGCACCAGCAACGAGAGGCATCATTGTGAAGCAGCGAGCAGCACCAGCAACGAGAGGCATCATTGTGAAGCAGCGAACAGCACCAGCAGCAAGAGGCATCATTGTGAAGCAGCGAGCAGCACCAGCAGCGAGAGGCATCACTGTGAAGCAGCGAGCAGCACCAGCAGCGAGAGGCACCATTGTGAGGCAGCGAGCAGCACCAGCAGTGAGAGGCACCATTGTGAGGCAGCGAGCAGCACCCGCAGTGAGAGGCACCATTGTGAGGCAGCGAGCAGCACCAGCAGTGAGAGGCACCACTGTGAGGCAGCGAGCAGCACCCGCAGTGAGAGGCACCATTGTGAAGCAGCGAGAGGCATCATTGTGAAGCATGTTGAAATCCTTGTGTTGAGGATTAATAATTATATATGACAGTAGAACTGATCCATGATTATTTTCTAGCTTGTTGTGCCCTAGTTATTACTGCACTTGCAACGCTGCACGACAGAGGTAAGCATTACATTTTTGTTGCAGAGTCATATGCTTATCGAGTATATTCTTATTGTGGCATAATAATCTTTTTTGAAAGTGTCTGATTAAGTAATTTTTATGGAGCAATTAGTAAAATAAATTTTGCAAAATCCATCAGTAGATAGGATTAAGACCTTAACAAAATCAGTGTTGATTTGTACGGGAAAAAACCTAGAGTTAGAATTTTTTTTTTTTTTTTTTTTTTGCAGGGATTATCCTGCGCGGCCCCTAAGCCTCTGGCTGGCCCACTAAGTTAGAAGTGGCACCCAGAATGAGTAAAGCTATGTTACTGAGACTTATTTTTCTGAATCTAGTAGAAGATGGCTTGTTAAGTGATGAGGTATTAGAAGAATACCCTGATGAGTTTGAGAGTACTGCCTGACTAAGAAGGCAGGAATTAGAACTTCAGCTAAAGCAAGTTGAGTTTGAAACGTTTAAGTGTATAGAATAAACTAAACAAAAAGAAGAAGAAACTAAACAATGAGAAGAAGAAACTAAACAAAGAGAAGAGGAAACTAAGCAGAGTTAGAGACAGTGAGAATTAAACAGCAGATGGCTGAGGTGCAGATTAGGCTTAAGGAGAGAAAGTTAGAAGCTGCAGCCGCTGCCAGTAGTAAGGGCTCTAAGGGAAGTTCTAGTAGTAGTCACAGTAGTGGACTTTACTTCCCTAAAGGGTTTGAATTACCCAAGATGAGAGGGACCCTGAATTGTTTTTCTTACATTTTTCCAAGCTAGCTATAGTTTAAAATGGCCAGAAGATTCTTGGGTGACCATTATGAAAACGTCGGTTGTGCGGGAAGGCACTAGAGATTTTCGCTTCGCTTCCTTTCGAAGACAGCTTTCAATACGCCACAGTAAAAAAGAGGATCTTGCAAGCATATGAATTCAATGCAGAAGCATTAAAACAAAAGTTAAGAGGTCTCAAGCGTGCACCTCATCAGACAGTTACAGATTTTGCTCGAATAAAATAGTCAATTTTTTGACAGGTGGCTAAACCGAAATAATACTCATGATTTTTTGTCCCTTAAGCAGCTCATCCTAGTTGAAGAACTTTTGTCTTGTTTGCCTGTAAAGTTGACCATGGCACTAACCACAGGTAGACGTTCTTACAAGGATGTTCATGAGTTAGCTATGTTGGCAAATGAGCATGAGACTTTTTTTAAGATACCGTATAACAATTTTAACATGGCACCTAAAACATTCACTTCTTGGCATGCAAATCCTGAGAGGTCAAAGAATAGTGATTATCATGCAAAGTCTGTTCTTTCAACTAGGGCAGACTAAGCCTCTGTTCGATCTAAGGGTGCTGTCAACCTTAGTAAAGCTACATCAGTTTCGACAAGTTTGACTGATGTGAAACAATGTAATTATTGTCACAAGAAAGGGCATGTTGTTCGTCATTGTTTCAGGTTACATCCGGAAATACGACCAAATGCTTTGGTGGTGAGTAAAAGTAGGCAGGGTCATAATTTTGAGACATTTTGTAAGGGTAAGCCACAGTGTCTTGCTGATTTTGACCCTTACATGATTCATGCTAAAATGGTTGGAGTTGTAGACAAGTGGATTCCTGTAGTTATGTTTAGAGACACTGGTGCATCGTTAACCTTGATTACTTCCAGTATGTTGTCCAAGGTCAAGAAGATTGACCTGGACGAAGTAATGCTTATACTGGGTATAGTTGGGGTAGTGCAGCGTGTTCCCCTCATGCAAGTTTATATTAAATCCCCCTATCCTCGTGGACTATGTACTGTAGGTGTGTATGATACCTTACCTATTCCTGGTGTCGATATAATTCTTGGAAATGACATTGCCGTCACTATGATAAACAGTCATCTTTCCATCATGTTCAATGACCCAGGTAGAGTTCTTTTAGAAACGAGTGAGATTGCTCATGAAGTGTATCCAGCCTGCGCAGTCACCAGATCTCAAGTCACCAAGTCCCAGAGTGATGTTCCCAAACCTACAACCGGAGGGATGGCTGGAAAACCTTCAACGTTTAAACTGGAAATTTATTTGGTTGACACTTTTATGTCTAGGTTGGATGAAGTTAGTACAGTTGAGGGAGTTGTGGCAAGTAAGGAAGTTGTACCTCCTGTTACTACCTCTCCCCATAATTTTGATGTAAAATCCAACACCTTAACCCAACTTCAACAGAGTGATCCTAGTTTAAATGCCTGTTTTTCTGAAGCTGTAAAGGAGGAGGATGCTTTGGCAGATGATGTTGGATACTTCCTTCGAGATCAGATGCTGATGAGACGATGGAGAACTAAGTTATCTCCCTCTTCAGAGGACTGTGAGAGTGTTACCCAGCTTGTGGTCCCCAAAGCATACCGTGAACAAGTTCTCTCAGCTGCCCACGACGATCCATTAAGCGGTCACCAAGGGATTAGTCGAATGTTATACAAGGTATCAAAATATTTTTATTGGCCTAGTCTTAAAAAAGATATTGGTAAATATTGTAGACAGTGTGTAACCTGTCAAATAGTGGGTAAACCAAATCAGAGTGTACCTTAAGCTCCCCTGCATCCAATTGTAGTTCCAAGTGAACCTTTTTCCCACATCATTATCGATTGTGTAGACCCTTTGAATAGGACAAAGTCTAGTCATGTATTTTTAATAACCTTAATGTGTGCCACGTCCAAGTTTCCAGAAGCTTTTCCTGTAAGAAACATAAGAGCAAAGACAGTTATCCATCACTTGACAAAATTCTGTACTTTGTTTGGACTACCTCGAGTTATCCAGACTGACAACGGTAGCAATATTCGGTCTGCAGAGTTCAAATATATTGTGAGAAGTATCAAATAGAACATTGCTTGTCCAGTGCTTATCATCCACAAAGTCAAGGTGCTTTGGAGAGATTTCACCAGACTATGAAGCAGATGATACGAACTGTTGGTGAAGACTCCAGACGTACTTGAGATGAGGACATGCCTTTTATCTTGTTTGCAGCTCGAAACGGTTTACAGCATTCCTTGGGTTGTTCCCCGTTCCAATTAGTTTTCGGACACAGAGTGAGAGGCCCAATCCAGTTGCTGAGTGAAAGGTTGTTGGGAAACGTCTCTCTCCCTGATGGAAGTCGTCTGTTGAGTGAGATCAAGTCGAAGTTGAAGAAGTACCAAGACGTGACAAGCGAGCACCTGAAGAAGTTACAGTTGAAGATGAAACAACACCACGACAAGAAGTTCAGGGTGAAGTTAGGATGTTTTCAGCCAGGTGATCTTGTTCTTGTTTTAAAGTCCAGAGTGGAAACAGCTTTAGCTCATCATTTTGAAGGTCCGTTTGAAGTTGTTTGCAGACGTTAGGAGTTAAAATATAAAATTAAAAGCCTGCAGAACCCTTCCAAGATTTTGTTAGTACACATTAATAGGTTAAAAGCTTTTCAAGACTCCAGGCCAGTGTCATGTGTACTCACCTAATTGCACTCACCTAATTGTGCTTGCGGGGGTTGAGCAGTGGCTCTTTGGTCCCTCCTCTCAACTGTCAATCAACTGGTGTACAGATTCCTGAGCCTACTGAGCTCTATCATATCTACATTTGAAATTGTGTATGGAGTCAGCCTCCACCACATCACTTCCTAGTGCATTCCATTTATTAACTACTCTGACACTGAAAAAATTCTTTCTAACGTCTCTGTGGCTCATCTGGGTACTAAGTTTCCACCTGTGTCCCCTTGTCCGTGTCCCACCCGTGCTGAATAGTTTGTCTTTGTCCACCCTGTCAATTCCTCTGAGAATTTTGTAGGTGGTTATCATGTCTCCCCTTACTCTTCTGTTTTCCAAAGATGTGAGGTTCAGCTCCTTTAGCCTTTCCTCGTAGCTCAATCCTCTCAGTTCCGGGACGAGCCTGGTGGCATGCCGCTGAATCTTCTCTAACTTTGTCTTGTGTTTAACTAGGTATGGACTCCAGGCTGGAGCTGCATACTCCAGGATTGGTCCTACATAAGTGGTATACAGGGTTCTGAAAGATTCCTTACACAAGTCCTGTGTGGTACAGGACACAGTCACCCCTGAGAACCATATACCTGATGATTGTCTAATCATATTTCTTGTAATTCTAGTTTGGAGGAGGTGATGGGACATTTGGATGAGGTTAAACAGCGAGAGTTGAGAATGTTACTACACCAGTATTCTAATCTGTTTGGAGAAGTTCCTACCCAGACCTCTGTTTTGAGCCATGATATTCAGCTCACAGACACCACCCCAGTTCGTATGCATCATTATAGAGTATATCCAGAAAAGAGAGATATTATCTGGAGGGAAGTGGAGTTCCTCCTGAAAATGGTATAGTTACACCCGGTCAAAGTTCCTGGTGTTCACCATGTTTGTTAGTTCCTAAACCGGATGGCGCCTGTGTACTGACTACAGGTGGTTAAATAAGGTAACTGAAGTAGACACTTTCCCATTGCCTTTGCTTGAGGATTGCATCGACCAACTTCGTCACTGTCAATTTCGATTTGTCCAAGGGATATCATCAAGTGCCTTCGACAAGTCGAGCCAGTGAGTATTCAGCGTTTGTAACACCTGATGGTTGTTTTCAGTATAACGTTATGCCTTTTGGTCTTAAGAATGCCTCAGCAACCTTCCAGAGAATAATGAATTTGTTGCTGCAGGATATTCCAAATTCCCGTGCTTATTTAGATGACATTGTTTATTTAGTGATTCTTGGCAAGACCATTTGCAGGGTTTAAATTTGTTGTTTCCTAAGTTGCAAGAGGCCAATCTTACTGTTAACCCAAAGAAATGTAATTTTGCTAGAGGTACAATTGTTTATCTCAGGCACGAGGTTGGTCAAGGTAGGGTGTTTCCACTATCTGATAAAATTAAGGCCATTGTAAATTATCCTATCTTGACTAACAAAAAAGAGGTTCAGCGATTTTTAGGGATGTGTACCTATTATCGTAGGTACTGTAAGAACTTTTCTATGGTAGCTTCACCTCTGCCTGAATTGTTGCAGCAGAGAGTTAGATTTAAGTGGACTACCCAGCGTCAAGAACCCTTTGATGGTTTAAAAAGTATCTTATCTTCATCCCCAGTCCTCGCTAGTCCTGATTTTACTAAGCCTTTTATCATGTATATCGATGCTTCTGATTTGGGTGCAGGTGCTGTCCTACTCAGATTGGATGTGATAATGTTGAGCATCCTGTATACTATTTTTCGAGAAAGTTCTCTAGTATAGAGAGAAATTACTCTGTTGTTGAGAAGGAGGCTTATGCTCTGATATTGGCATGCAAGAAGTTTGAGATATATTTACATGAAAATAAGGGTGATGTATATATCGACCATAACCCTTTAACCTTTATTGACAGAATGAAAATCCATAATCAAAAATTTTTTAAGTGGTTTTTGTATTTACAGGAATTCAATCTCCATATTCATCATATTC